CCCGGTGGCATTCTTCAGCAAAGCCCTGGGCGTGCGCAATCAGAGGTTGTTGGCATATGAGAAGGAGTTCATCGTCGTCATGATGGCAGACGATAAGTGGTGGCATACTTGCAGCAGGGTCCGTTCACCATCATCACGGATCACAAAAGCCTATGCAACGTGCAGGACCAGCAGCTCGCCACCGACCTGCAGCACAAGGCCATGGCCAAGCTAGTGGGGCTCCAATTCAAGTTCCGCTACCGTCGCGGCAGCAAAAATGGAGCTGCTGACGCTCTGTCTCGCGTGGGCACGACGCTGAACCTCGACGCGCTCTCCATCTGCCAGCCCGCGTGGGTTCAGGAAGTGGCAAATTCCTACGCCGCGGACGCCGATGCGCAAGATCGCCTGGCTTGCCTCGCGATCCACAGTCCTGACGACGACAGGTACGAGCTCTACAAGGGACTCATCCGCAAGCAGGAGCGCTTGTGGATCGGCAAGAACACGGCACTGCACACCAAGATCATCAGCGCTCTGCATGACAGCGCGGTCGGTGGTCACTCCGGCGCCACGGCCACCTACCAGCGCATCAAGAAACTCTTCATTTGGGAAGGCTTGAAGACCGATGTCACCGACTATGTGCGGCAGTGCCCAGTCTGCCAGCATGCCAAGCACGAGTAATCCAAGCCAGCAGGCACGCTCGCACCCTTGCCAGTTTCGATAGCTCCCTGGCGCGACCTCACCATGGATTTCGTGGAGGGCTTGCCATCATCGGTGGGCTTCGATTCGATAATGGTGGTCGTGGACAAACTAACCAAATATGCGCACTTCATTCCGCTTCGCCACCCATTCAAAGCCCCTCAGGTGGCCAAGGTCTTCTGGGATCAGGTCATCAAGCTGCACGGCATCCCAGCTCCATCGTCTCCGACCGCGATCACATCTTCACCAGCGCTCTCTGGCATGAGCTCTTCGCTAGTGCGGGCACCAAGCTGCTCTTCACCACGCATATCACCCCCAGACGGATGGCCAAAGCGAACGCGTCAACCAGTGCATGGAAATGTACTTGCGTTGCGCCGTACATGACGCGCCCCGGCAATGGCGTCGATGGCTGCCTACAGCGGAATTCTGGTACAACTCATCATTCCATTCCTCGATAAAATGCTTCCCCTTCAAAGCTCTCTACGGCGTCGAGCCCAACCTGGGCGCCATGGCACTCTGGGACGACAAACAGGATGCCCATGATCGACGGTGAGCCCTGGGACTGGGTCGTGCACACGGCGCGGCTGCGAGAACACATTCTCCGTGCCCAGCACATGTTCAAGAAGCAGGCCGATCAGCATCGCACCGAGCGCTCCTTCGAGGCGGGCGATGGTGTTCTCCTCAAGCTTCAGCCCTATGCGCAGTCGTCGGTGGCCAACAGACCCTGCACCAAGCTGGCGTACAAGTACTTCGGGCCATTCTCGATGATCGACAAGGTCGGCAAGCTGGCGTACAAACTGGAGTTGCCGGCGGACAGCAAGATCCACCCCGTCTTCCACGTATCCCAGCTCAAGCCATTCACCCCCAACTATACACCGGTCTTCTCCGAGCTGCCACGACCCCCAGACCTCGTCGGCCACGATGACGAACCGGTGGAAATCCCGGAGCGGCGCATGGTCAAGCGTGGCAACAACGCCTTGGTGCAGGTCAAGGTGCGCTGGCGCAACGACGAGACGGCGACGACGTGGGAGGACTACGACACCCTTCGCCGCCGTTTTCCACAAGCCTCGGCATGGGACGCACCACCGGCCGCCGCCGAGGACCAGCAAGCACAACCTGAAGACGACGTCCGTTCTGAAGGAGTGGGGAATGTCACACCTGCATCACTAGGAGATGATGCGGTGGACGCGTGATGGTGGGACCCCCTCTGCCATGTGGCATGGACCCACCCGTAAGGCAAGTTGCCAAGTGGAGCGCGGCTATATAGCCAGCTGTAGGCCAGTAGGCAGGGCATGCGATGTGTGTGTAGTGATAACTCTGAATTCTCACCTAATTTGTACCTCCTCCCATGGAAAGAAGCTTCTCTCCCAAGTCTCGGTCTCATCCCCTTTCCCCTCTCGATCCGATCCGCCTAGATGAGTTCGTGACAGGTCAAGTTACAAACAATTTGTCTCCAAGCTTTGAAACGAAGTAGGTGTTTCATCTTTATTCTATTGGCAGCTACAGTGAATCTTCTCTGAGATTCCTTAACCACCTTCCTATGATGGGATCTTCATTATTGAAAATTATTCCATTTCCTAGCCCTCCATATGTTCTAGCATCCAAGGATGATGGTATCCATGCTAAAAGGCTTTTTGGTCACTTGCCTTACCGGCTCCACTTATGTAAAAAAGTTAATCCATTTGAACTTGTTGGGAGCAATGGTATTCGGTTTTTCTCTTCCAAAAAATATTATTTTCAAACCCCGAACGCAAACGCACACATGCACTCGCAGCACCACCACATGGGCACATACACAAATTACCTACTGAAGACTAGAGTCATTGAGCTTCAAGCCCCTCATACTGAAAGAATTTTTCGCCTTAATGACATAGAAGTACTCACCTTACCGTCCAACCCAGGTTGATTCTCTTTCTAAAATACATTTTAACTATCGGAATTAGATGTTTATTTATTATTCAACTTTAGGTGGTTTTGCATTTTCAAATACTGCTGTAGAAGTCTACCAACTTGGAACCTTCCGCAGCCAAAAAAAGGAAACAGAAAACAAATTAAAGGCACACAATTCAACATACATCCTCTCTGTTTTTCTTTCTTTCAGGTTCGTTCACAATTTTCTCTAGCAACATAAATATGCCTGGTTGCTTTTCCATCATCACAGCAGATCACTGTAACCACCCTGCTGCCTATGGATGATATTCATTCAGAAACAGAGGAGGAAACAGATTCTGACAGAGTTGTAATCCCGAATATGGAGACGCTTCTGAGACATAGAAAAAATAACTGAAGAAAAGTTCCGTCCCACTTTTATTACTCCTGTATTTTCTTCATCTGTGATCTTCTCTCATGTCATGGCAATTCACCGGAGCCAACAGGGTTATTACAATCATAGCATTTTCAGATGTTATCTTCACCGCTGCTTCTACCCGACTAGTGCTTCATCTGCAGGAACGCTGACAGCAGATGGCCTGCATAAGGCTAATTTTTTTAAAATAATACATTCTTATATTAAATTTCAGAAATATTACGTCATAATTATATATATTTTTTAAAATATTACCCAGTCGGCCTACTGCTGACCGATTGGATCCAGTCGGCCTACTGCTGGCCGATTGGCCCCCAGTCGGCCCACTGCCGGCCCACTGGATCCAGTCGGCCCACTGCTGGCCGATTGGCACCTAGTCTGCTTCCTCTAGGCCGACAGGTGCATGCACCCATTTATCTGTTGAATAGGTATTTAAAAAATGTTGAAGAAGTATTTTAAAAAATGTTGAACATGCATATAAAAATGTTAATCAAGCATTTGAAAAAAAATGTTGAACAAATATTTGACTGTTGAATAGGTATTTGAAAAATGTTGAACAAGTATTTTAAAAAAAATTATCATGTATATAAAAATGTTAATCAAGCATTTGCAAAAAATCTTGAACAAGTATTTGAAAAAAATATTGAACAAGTATTTAAAAAATATTGATCATGTATATAAAAATGTTGAACAAGTATTTGTAAAAATGTTGATCATGTATATAAAAATGCTTAACAAGTATTTGGAAAATTTTGAACAATTATTTAAATTTTTTTGAACAAGTATTTTAAAAAATAATATAGAAAGAAAAGAAAAAAGAAAGAAATAATGGGGAAGACCGGCTCAGTCACCTCTAGTTGGTCACAATCCCTTTTCTAACCAGTAACTGGAAGCTGATGGGGTGGTTAGCTGCGCTGGCGATTGCCATGGCAGCTTCCAAATGTTAAACATTTCAAAAAAATTAAATACTTGTTTAATATATTTCAAATACTTGTTCAACATATTTTCAAATACTTGTTCAACATTTTTATATACATGATCAACATTTTTACAAATACTTGTTCAACATTTTTATATACATTGTCAACTTTTTTAAAATACTTCTGCAATATTTTCCAAATACCTATTCAACAATTTTCAAATATTTGTTCAACATTTTTTTCAAATACTTGTTCAACTTTTTTTCAAATACTTGTTCAACATTTTATTTCAAATGCTTGATTAACATTTTTACATGCATGGTCAACATTTTCCAAATACTTTTCAATATTTTTCAAATACCTATTCAACAGATAAATGGGTGCATGCACCTATCGGCCTAGAGGAAGTAGACTGGGTGCCAACCGGCCAGCAGTGGGCCGACTTTGGCCAATCGGCCAGCAGTGGGCCGACTGGATCCAATCAACCGGCAGTGGGCCGACTGGAGGCCAATAAGCCAGCAGTAGGCCGACTAGATCCAATCGGTCAGCAGTAGGCCGACTGGGTAATATTTTAAAAAAATATAATTATGGCGTAATATTTCTGAAATTTCATAAAAAGATTGTATTATTTGAAAAAAAAAATAGCCTGCATAAGTGCATGCCGCTCTGGTTGATCAGATTGATGAGCAGCCAGCAAATTTGAAATATTACGCTTCAGTTTTTTTTAACCAAATTCATAAGGAACCATGTGTTGGGAGCTAAAAATGATAACATTCATATGTTTCCAGAAACTCCACAAAATGGCTGCACAAGAAGTGCTCAAAACAGCATGCCTAGTGTTACTAACCAAAAAACAAGCTACAGATTCAGAATTATGACTACGTAACTGATTTCAAAGAACTCATTCACTTCACTCCAAATAGCCTTAGGTACCAAACAATCAAATCTGAAATCTGAAACCAGTAGGTTTCAGCGCCACAAAACCTGAGTAACATCAAATTACAACAAAACGTCCAACTAACAGAGGAAGGGAAATATTACAGACATGCTCGATATAGGACGCGATACACCATTACTTCAGCACCACGTGACACTCTTCATCATTCAGCGCCATTGACCCGAAAGTGCGACATGCAGCTATATATCTTCTTGGTTACCATGGCTTGCATGTTGTCCACATATTGATAGAACGAAAATCTCCATGTCTCGCTGCGGAACATGAACATGCCCCAGTACAGCCAGAACCCAAAGATGAACCCAGCAGCCACGAAGCAATACAACCACAATGCCTCTCTATCTTCAGCCTGACTCTCTTCGGTTTGCGTAGGTGTCGACGAGTTTACACAGTCTTCCAACGGAAACCCGCACAGCCCAGGATTATTGCTGTATATTGAAGGATCTACGAGTGTCTGCAACTGATTGCCCGTAGGTATCCTCCCTGATAAACTGTTGCTCGAGAGGTTCAGGACGCTTATGGTCTTCAAATCTGCAAAGCTTGGAGGAATTTCCCCTGATAGTTGGTTCCGAGAAAGGTCCAAGGATTCCAGCAGTACCAGATTGCCAATGTCTTTGGGAATACGACCTGACAAATGATTTCCTGATAAGTTCAGGTACCTGATTCCAAGAAGCGTTGTGAGCCCATGTGGGATCTCTTGTGAAAGAAAGTTCCCAGATAAGTCGATACCGGCCATGCCTGCTATCACCATAACGTAAACATGATCTACATTCTTCCAAACTATTTGGATTTGCTGTGCATGCACGCCGTAGCCAGTATATACATAGTCAATTTGTTCCTGTTCATGTGCCATGCCAGTAAAATTTGAAAAATCATCTGGAACGGGTCCTGTGAGCTTGTTTTTTGACAAGTCCAACAATTGGAGTTTGTGAAAGTGTAATACCTGAAGAGGTATGACACCTTCGAATGTGTTGGATGACAGACGAAGAAACTTGAGTCCAGGTAAGTTCTTGCTTATCCAAGATGGTATCGTACCTGAGAAATTATTGCCTCCAAGATCTAGAGTGATCAGGTTTTTACATTTCTTAAGACCAAACGGGAAGGCTCCTATGAAATGGTTATTGGCTAGGTGTAGATAGTTCAGATCAACACTACATGTCCTCGAGAATGGAACCACGCCACTGAAGGAGTTGCTCGATAGATCCATGAACATCAAGCTTGCCATGTCCCAGAAACACTGGGAGAGACCTCCATGCAAGGAATTATTTGATAGGTCTAGGAAGTCTAAAAGGGTATAATTACAAAGGAATACCTCGCCCCAATCTGTCAGAACCGTGCCATAGAACTGGTTTTCACTGAAATCCATTGCCTGAAGCTGTCCAAGATGCTCATGAAAACAGTCCCTTAACTCTGCAACAATGTTGTTTGCCGTGAAGTCAACACTGTGCAAGGATGTGCAGTTTTTAAAGGTCTGACGGTGAATGCCGGTAAATCCATTATATCCAGCAATGAGAAATTTCAGTGCACCTCCTGCGCAAATGGATGACGGGAACACCCCAAAGAAGTTATTATTTGCAATCTCGACCTCATCCAGGAGACTGCTATTCCCAAGCTCCGGGAAGATGTGGCCTCCAAGTTGGTTTTCTGACAGATACAAATACCTGAGTTTTCTCAGATGAATGATGGTACCTGGCAGCTGCCCTTCCAAATGGTTATCATCCAGCTCTATGGACTGCAGTTCTGTCATGTTTCCAATCTCCAGCGGGATTCTCCCTGTCAGCTTATTGTTTCGCAGGATAAGCTTCCGGAGCTTCACGAGCAACCCAATTGTTGGTGGGATTGACCCTGTCAAAGTAACTGAGTACAGATCGAGCTCGTCCAAGCTCGTCAGGTTACCAATCTCTTCAGGTAGCGTGCTATCAAGCTTCAAATATCTCAATCGCAGTAAACCAAGGTGCATCAGCTGGCCAATGCTGCGAGGAATGGCGCCTCTCAAATATGGGTTTCTGCTGAGGTCCAACACAACCAAACTCGTGAGGTTGCCAATCCCCGCTGGAATTGTGCCATATAGACCAACGTCGTACAGGATGAGTTTCTCCATGTGGGGAAAGGCGGGGAAGTCGAAGTCATCAAGTGTGCCATTCAGACTTGTCTCGATAAGCATGAGCTGCCTGATGTGCCCAGCCAAGTCACAAGTGACGTGCCACCAGTTGCAAAGGCTTGTGGAGTTGGCCATCGACCATGTACTAAGGGACCCATCGGCATCGACCAAGCTAGCCTTCCACTTCACAAGTGCTTCAGCTTCACCCCGGATGTTGGCACTCGCCGGCGCGGCGACGTATAATAGGAGACAAGTGTAAGAGAGTAAGAGAAAGCATACAGAATGGAGATGCTTCATGATGGCTTGGTAGAAGCTTCGCTTGCTGCGGAGGATATGTCTCTGGATGAGCCAGCCGGCCGGCCGGCCGTTCCTAACAGGGTGGTCTGGTGGAGTATTGTAGCTTACATTAAGGGCAAGCACTACATGCTAGTCTTAGTAGTCCATTATAGAGGGCTGCCCATAATAAGAATAAGAAATATGTCGTTATCAGGGTGACACTTGGAAGTCATGGCACAATATGCTTAATCAACTCCAGTACTTGACCATATCACCCGATATATTGTTGATATCTAACATGCTGAAGACAAATAGACAATACGCTACCAATGCTGAACACATAGAACCTTGGTCCTGCCTCCTAGAGCAGCAGTTCAGGCTTCAACAGCAGAGGCTTGCGCCCACAAAAAAAGGCACACAAAAAGAAGAGAAACATAGGCAAATAAAACGGAAGCACATTTGCCAAATATAATTACCAGGGTGTCAACTCTAATAGTGAAATGTATCACTATCACCCTGGTTGATATCTAATATGCTCTTTGTCACAAAAAAACTAATATGTTGAAGAACATAAGCTACCAACCCGATATTCATGATTTAGATGCTGAAGACTTTGGGTACTGTAGTTACCAAAACCAACTGATATGTTGATTAGCACTGTGAGTACTTTCACTTTATATATTTTGTAGATTACAAATGGCAAGATGTATGCATGTGTCGTTATCCAAAAAACATTTCAACTCTGATACAGGAATGTATCACCTGAAACATTTAATCGATATCTAATATGCTGAAGATAATAAGCTACCAAGCCAACATTCATGGTTTAGAAGCATGCTCCCAGAGGAGCAATTGAGGCCTCAATGGCAGGAATCTAAGCCCGGAAGAAAGCATAAAGAGAGAAAATTAGCTAAAAATACATTTTAGAATATATATTTCTAGTTCGTGCTTCATTTAGTGTTCAGACCAAAAATGCATGCATCCGGCACTAAGTCATAAAATTCTCTAAAAAATATAGAGAAAGTTACAAAAACAAAGAAAAAAAAGTGAATCAATTTAGTAAGAAAGTATCCTATCAGATTCAAACCAGTGATTTGCATCTTAGCACGAGATTACTCTACTATGAATTTAATGTGCGGAAAATAATGGGTGTGGCTAGCTCTCATCTAGACGAGAGTTCACTAAGTCTCATCTAAGTGACATTAGCATGGAAAAATAAAAAGAAAAAAAACTGCATGAATCTCCGCATAAAATCAAATGGCATAGGAGTTAGATGAGACAATTCTCATGAGAATTAGCAAATCCGAAAATGATGTCAAAGAAACTAGTAATGATTCTGTATCCCAACTTACTCGCCTCCTTTTACCTCCAAACTTCACAAGCTCCCTTCCAATACATTTGGCCACCCTAACGGACGGAGCCTGCAGTATACTTACTAGTACACTTTTGCAACGAGTTCACTTGTTTCAGTTTCGAAATCCTTGATTATCTGGGTTTTTTCGCTTTTATTAGAATGGGAATATATGTTGTGCAGGGTGACATGAATAAGCACTATATCATGGCAGCAAATGAGTAGCAACTGGTAAATGGGTGTTGTATATGGCAGATTTTATTCAGTATTGTTACCAAGAAAACTTTTATCATGGTTCATATATTTCTCTAGATAACTCTTATGGGTTTCACCTCTAGCCTACCCCAACTTGTTTGGGACTAAAGGCTTGCAGCATGTTGCTGTTGTTGTTGTAATGTAGGACGTTTTTTGACACTAAAAAAATGGCTTACATTATGAGACGGAGGGAGTATTTCTCTAGATAGTCTATTTCAGCCAGCCAATCTGGAAGGGTAATTCAATAACAATGTGGGACTGTGGGTACTGTCACTACTGCAATCAACTGATATATTTGCGAAACACTGCGAGTACTGCCACTTTACATATTCATAAGATGAAGTTTATAAAAAAGGTACTTAGCTCATATTACTACAAATTCTCCTGGTCAGCGTCCATGAAATATAATGAAGTAGATGGCCAATAGTAACTGATTATTGGGGAACAAGATCAGCAGAAGCACAAATTGATGGTGAGTGCAATTTTAGCTTGTTAGGTCCCCGGCGTGTCAGCCATTTCTCATAGTATTTAAACCAGGATGACTAACCTTGTCAACGTTCCAAATCCAAACATAAATCTGTTGATGGAAGGGAAATATCCAATCACGTTCTGCAACCAGCTGAGAGGCTTATCTTCTAGCATTCTGGTCAGGCCCGGCAAATTATCTTGGTGTTTCTCGAACATATCACAAATGCCTCAAGCAGAATAACAGATGCAGGGGTGATTTGCTAGATGCACGTGTTGAGCTTGGGGAGGAGGAAGGCCATGGCTTCATGTTCTTGCTTGGGTGCGTGCAGTCAATACCCATGTGCGCTGTTCATTGGATTTCCCAAACGCTATTTTGTAGAAGCATTTTTAGTCCAAACAAAGAATTGTACAAACTAGTTCTAATAAAAAACTAACTAAAATGCATTTTCCTAAAATCTCTCCTAAAACCTGTTTTCTGATAACCCAGCTTAATTTCTTCCAATCCAAACAACCACTAAGTTGACTTTAAATATAGTTATATATCTATTCCAAAAAATGGTATAGCTATATGCAGGCTTGGCGAGTTGGCTGATTGCATCCTTGACGAACAAAGTAAATATAGATCCCGTAGGAGGACGAACAAATCAGTGAATCGCGTAACTATTTACAGATACCATGAGTCCAAGACAATGACTAATGGTGCTTTAACTAAGAAGCAACAATGTGTGCAGACAACAAAATCGAGACTAATATTCGAACTAAAGGGCATAATCAAAACAATACCTCGTTCGAATCATTGGAATTTCGCAACTTCTGTCAGTGCAATTATGACCACCGCTCGTCTCAACTGCCATCTATCTGACTATCCCTTGTTTTGTTTTATGTTCCTCCAAAAGTCTTTGCACATGAATTCTAAGCTCCAACTCTCTGACATCTTGCAGTTTGATGCTTCCATGTGGCCAACAAATGTTTGGAGCATACACATGCCTAGAGGAGTTCACTTGTTATTGCAAAGATCTCCGCACGTGTAAGCTATCAAGAAGCCTATTGTAAGCCACAATGTTAGGTATAAACCCTAAATCAAGCATTTCATCCAACACAGCCTCGCCTTCCGACACCCTTCCCTGCCTACCAAACCCCTGCACCAGCATGCTATAGGTCACACCATCAGCCTGAAAACCCTTCTCCTTAGCCAGAATCCTCAGCTTGTTTGCATCAGAAGTCCGTCCAGCTTCACAAAGTGCCTCCAAGATACAGTTACAAGATATGGTATCTGGTACAATCCCCTCCCGAACCATCCTTCCCATCAACCGGCACACATCATCCAGCCTCCCCGCCTTCACCAAGCAATCCAGAAACGTTACGCCAGCAGGGACACTCAAGCAGGATGCCCTGTTCCTCTCCAATACCAACTCCACCACTTCCACTGCTTTGTCCACCCTTCCAACATGGCACAGCGATTCAACCAGATCCAAGCAATCAAACCCTTCCTGCGCCACCGCATCCACCAAAAACTCGGCAAATAACTCTGCTGCCTTCGAAGCCTCGCCTCCACGGCACAGCCCACCGATCAAAATCTCCATGGAAGCAACGGACAGCCCGACCCCAAGCTGCAGCATCTCATGAGCAACCTTAAGACCTTCCTTGTGCCTTCCTTCTCTGAAGAACCCGCGCATAAGAGTATTGAAGCTCACACCAGTCGGCGCACAGCTCCGGCGCCGCATCTCCTCAAACCACCGCATGGCGGCATCGACGCCTTCGACGCGGCAGGAACTGTTGATGAGTATGTTGAAGGTGTAGGCATCCGGTGCGACGCTGTGGACGCTGGTCATCTCGCTGTAGAAGCGGATGGCGTCGTCATGGCGGTGGACACGGGCGAGGGCGTGGAGGATGATGTTGTAGAACTCGGCGGGGAGGGGCGAGTCCGCGGCGCGCCGGAGGGACGCGAGGGCTTCGGAAGCCGCGGGGATGTCGCCGGAGGTGGCGAAGGCGAGGATGGCCTTGCGGAAGGTCGGGAGGAGGTCGGGGCATGCGAAGATGGAGTCGTCGGCGCAGGGGCAGGGGCGCGAGAGGACGAGCTGGAGGAGGCGCCGCAGCGAGGGGAGGCGCGCGGCGAGGAGGCTCGTGAGCCGGTGGTCGGGGCGGAAGGCCGAGGAGGAGTCGGCGGCCGCGAGGAGGAGGTGGAGGTCGAGCGGCGCCAGGCGCGGGTGGTGCCGCGCGCGGCGCAGGAGGCGGAGGAGCGCCTCCGGGGAGGAGGCGTGCGCCGAGGGGAGAGCCGGGAGGGGGCTCGGCGGCGAGAGGTGGGAGACGGCGAGCGGGAGTAGCGGCAGGGAGGGGTCGAGGGGGATGGAGGCGG